TAAAAGAAATTGAATTAAAACCAATTTTTGAGAGAGAGCGTAAGACAGTGAATGGAAACAGGGTCATAAGATCTGAAAGGTCAAACTGTGCTTTGAGGTTCATTGGGATTTCCCTGCCCACTCCTAGGTCTGGGACACTGTCTTCCCAAGCCCTCAGGAGTCTGACTTAGGATCATAGACATCAAAACTGTGATTCCTAAGCATGGATAGCCAGGGACATGGTGGTAAGTGACATTGGGACGCAGAGGGGTAGAACTGGGTCATGATAAAACTCTGCATTGCTGAGACAGAGGCTGCTGTGTGGAGAGTGGAGGGTGACAGTGATGGGGGAAGGAGGAAAACCCTCAGACTCACCCCTTCACCCTAAAATAGCAAAGAAGGTAAAACACCACATTTTACTGTCCCTGCTCCACATTCTTTTAGAATCTAGTTAATTCTGCTTCATAAGGGAGAAAATGTACAAAAACTAAATGCTTTTCAGCCTGGCCCGGAGTAATGTTAGACTATCTAGGAATGAGACAATCCGGCCCCAAAGGGGAAATTCAGGGACTAATGAACACTCTCCTAATGGGAGAGAGTTAGAACACATTAGTAAGCAGTCAAGGGACACCGGACCCAAGCAGCGATGGGTGCTGGAGCCTTCTCCCTCCCCATTTTGTCACGGATATTTTTAATAAAACTCATGGACAGGTCATGGGATTCTGTGAATTTTTCTTTATTACCTGTGATCTCTCCATGAGTTTTACTAAAAATATCCATGACAAACTCTTAGCCTTACACATAAGATGCTCGGGGTGAATTTACACTAGGAAATCTGGTGCAGGGTCACAGAGATGTGCTGGCTAATCCTGACCATGATTCCTACCATAGACAGACGCTCGGAGGCTGATGCTGCGGAGGCAGAGGTGGGATCTCCAGGCCTCTGACAAAAGGCCCTGTGGAAATCAGTTCCTCTCAGTGGCACTGTCTGAATGCAGAGGGGGCAGGTAGAAGGGGCCAAGGGGGTGAGTGAGGAGAGGCAGCACCTCTCTGCCCCTGTGCTCTCCCTCACCTCTTATCCCACAATCCCCAAACACTTGATAGCTCCAGCACCCAGCTCCCCCTGCTTCCCAGCTCCATCAGCCCCAACCATTCAATCCCCAGTGTCTGCCCAAGAACCCATCGCCCTGGTGCCTTTACATTTGATCCCCCCAGAACCCAGCGCCCTGGGGGATGAGGGGAGGGGAGGAGTTACCAGCCCCCAGGGACACTCCCCCTGCAGGGAACAGCTCCAGGTAAGTGGGGGAGCCCATCTCAGGGGCTGGGGACAGGTGTGTAGAGTGAAGGTGGGGCCTGGCCCAAGTGTCCTTCTCCTCATCTCCATGGCAGGGGGATCCCGGCTGGGAGGGGAAGGGAGAGGGGGGAACTTCAGCCAGACAGAGGGAGCGGCTGGTGGAGTTTCTCTCTCTCCCTTCCCCCACCTGTGGCCCATCAGCTCAGCAGCCAGGGCTGCAGCAGGGGGGAGGGGCTGATCGGGGCGTCTCCTCCTCTGCCTGGGGTTTGCTTAGACCAGGCAGAGCCAGTGGGTCACTGACCAGCTGATGCTCGGTTGTTGTTGGCTCCTCACCCCAGCGATGGGCAGCTGGATCCTTGGGAGCCAAATACCCCGATGTGTGTGAGAACGAGGAAACGGGTTTGTCACCATGGCCAGCCCTAGTCAGGGCCCTGAGAGAATTTCCCTGCTGTGCGGAGGAGTCTCTGATGTCCATTGTGGTGTTAGTTCCACTTGGAGCATTTTCCACGCTGAGAACATCTCAGAGGTTTCTTCCCTGTGTGGATTTGCTGATGCCCGATACTCCGGGAGCATCAAATGAAGCTTCTCCCACATTCAAGGTCTCTCTGTTTTGTGGATCACTGATGTGTGAAGTCAAGCTGAATCATCTTCTGCAGTCAGGCTATTGCTGGGGTCTCTCACCTTTGTGGATTTTCTGATGTTTGGTGAGCTCCGAGCTCTTACTGAAGCTTTTCCCACACTCAAGGCATTTATAAGGTCTCTCCCTCATGTGGATTCTCCCATGTCGAGTAAGGTATGAGCGCTGACTGAAAGTTTTCCCACAGTCCAAGCATTTATGGGGTTTCTCTCCCGTGTGGGTTTTCTGATGATTAGTAAGTTTTGTTCTGTAAACAAAACTTTTCCCACAGTCAAGGCATTTATAGGGTTTGTCGCCTGTGTGGATTCTCTGATGAGTAATAAGGTGTGAGTGCTGCCTGAAAGTTTTCCCACAGTCAAAGCATTTAAAGGGTCTCTCTCCTGTATGCACTCTCTGGTGTCTAATAAGTTGTGACTTCTGAAGGAAGTTTTTCCCACAGTCCAAGCATTTATGGGGTCTTTCTCCTGTATGGGTTGCCTGATGTGTAATAAGTTTTGTTCTGTCAAGGAAACTTTTCCCACAATCGAGGCATTTATAGGATTTGTCACCAGTGTGGATCTTCTGATGCTTAATAAGGTTTGAACGGCAAATGAAACTTTTCCCACACTCAGGGCATTTATGGGGTCGTAATCCTGTGTGGATTCTCTGATGTGCAATAAGGTGTGGGCTCTGACTAAAACTTTTCCCACACTCAGGGCATTTGTAGGGTGTTTCTCCTGTGTGGATTCTCCTATGTTTAGTAAGGGATGAACTTTCCTTGAAATCTTTCCCACAGTCAAGGCATTTATATGGTCTCTCTCCTGTGTGGATTCTCCCATGTTTAGTAAGCTGTGAGCTCTGACTGAAAGTTTTCCCACAGTCAGGGCATTTATGGGTTTTCTCTCCTGTGTGGGTTTTCTGATGTGTATTAAGGGTTGATTTCAAACTGAAACTTTTCCCACACTCAAGGCATTGATAGGGTCTCTCTCCTGTGTGGGTCCTCTGATGTGAAATAAGGTTTGAAGTTTGACTAAAACTTTTCCCACACTCAAGGCATTTATAGGGTTTTTCTCCTGTGTGCAGTCTCCGGTGTCTAATAAAGTTTGACTTCTTACTGAAGCTTTTCCCACAGTCCAAGCATTTATGGGGTCTCGCTCCTGTGTGGATTGCCTGATGTCTAATAAGTTTTGTACTGTCAATGAAACTTTTCCCACAGTCGAGGCATTTATAGGGTTTGGCACCCGTGTGGATTCTCCTGTGTTTAGCAAGGTGTGAACGACAAATGAAATTTTTCCCACACTCAAGGCATTTATACGGTCTCTCTCCTGTGTGGATTCTCCTATGTTCAATAAGGTATGAGTTCTGACTGAAAGCTTTCCCACAGTCCAAGCATTTATGGGGTTTCTCTCCTGTGTGGGTTTTCTGATGCATATTAAGAGTTGATTTCAAACGGAAACTTTTCCCACACTCAAGGCATTTATAGGGTCTTTCTCCTGTGTGGATTTTCACATTTTTAATACGGGATGAACTTTTGCTAAAACTTTTTCCATAGTCAAGGCATGTATTGGGTTTCTGGTGTATAATAAGACTTGGCTTCTTACTGAAGCTCTTCCCACAGTCCAAGCATTTATAGGGCTTCTCTCCTGTGTGGGTTCTCTGATGTGTACTAAGTTTTGCACTAAAACGGAATCTTTTTCCACAGTCAAGGCATTCATAGGGTTTCTCTTCATTGTGACTTGTCTGCTGGACTGTGGTTTCCTTGGGATCCTTGCATCCTCTGCCAAGTTGAATGGATTCATCCAGTTTCTTCCCGGGAAACTTTCCCAGCTGCATCTCTGATCTATGTCGATCTCCCCAGGCATTTCCCTGTTCCAAGCCCTGGGAAAAATTCCCTTCAGCTCTTCTCAAAAATGTCTCCTGCAGTTCCACTTTCTCAGGACCTTCCTGCTGCTGATTCTCCTCCTTGTTCTCACTCACTGTCCTATCACCTGCTGGGAGAGAGAGAATCCAGACAGGAGTCACTGCCTGTGCCAGGGGGAAAGGACAGAAAGGGGAATAGCAAAGCGGGAAAACACAACACAGTGACTGTTGGGGAGATAGAGACATTGAATTCTGCCTCCACATCCCACCCAAACACTCCCAGGGAAGTAAAGTCAAGAAGGAAATTCCCGACAGCTAACAGGATGGGTGGGAAGCCAGGACTGATATTTGACTTGATGCTATGACACCTGCTGACTGCAGCCCTGACCTGGGTGAGGTGCAGCAGAACTGAGGGCTTTAACTCACTGCACATTTTGGGAGTCCCAGGTTTTTCCTTCACTCGCCAGATGGTTTCTTTGTCAGTTTCCCTGACTCCTCACCTGTGCTGGTGCCTCTCGGGCTCTCCCTTTCCTTGGAGTCCTGGAGATCCGGGATCCATGGCTCTTCCCCTTGTTCCAGCCGGGCGATCAAGTCAGGTTTGGGAATGGGGAATCCTGCACAGGGGGTGAAATCAGGCAAGGTCAGGGCACAGGGAGCACTGGTAGAGTATTTGCCATTAGGAACATTCCCTGAGTTTAACCTGACCCTACATGGGACTGTGGTAACCCAGACCCTTTGGGAGAAGCAAAAATCTGGGGGCACAGGGGTGTGGTCACACCCTCACTCGGAGTTCTCAGGATAGATGTACTGCAGGGACTCGCTGACACACACAGAGCTCAGGTGCTAAGCTCCTGCCTATTTCCAAATCTGCAGAACCGAGAGCCCTCCCAAAGGCTGCAGCTAGTCCCAAGAGGGCTGGTGAACGGGTGTGTGAAGGAGAAATAACACAGGCAGGACAACACCCTGCTTCTGGCCCCTTGAAAGCTGGAGAGATGGGGATGAATTAGCATGTCCATTAGGTTTCTGACTCTCCTGTTCCCTTGAATGGGGTATGGAGATGAAAGTCTCCCTCTCACTGCAGCTGTGGACTACATGACCGTCCCCCCGAATCCAAAAGACCAGGGAAGAACCTGACCAGATTCAGACACGCAGACCCCACAGCTTCTAATACCCAGGGGGATGGGAATCCCTTACCCAGCGAGGTCACCATCTCATAGTTCTCCTGCATGACGTCCCTGTAGAGGGCTCTCTGAGCGGGGTCCAGCAGATCCCCCTGCCCCTGGGTGAAATACACAGCCACCTCCTCGAAGGTCACCGGCATCTGAAACAAGAGTCCCACCCTGACTACGTGCTGCTGCAGCCAGAATCCACTAGTCACAGAGGAGACGGGGAGGGGGAAACAAAACATTGAAGCTCTGGGAGGGTTGGAGAAGCAGAAACTCATCCCCACCCTGTTCAGGGAAGCCAGGAAGTTTAAGGGAGTGGGTAGAAGGTGGGAGCTCCTTGTACCCCCCAGCACACGGAGCAGGGCAGGGTCTTCTCATTTCCCACACGCCTGCCAGCCACAGGCTCATACAGGAAGCAGAGCTCTGAGCCAGGGACAGGAACAGGAATCCCAACAGCTTCCCTTCGTATTTCACAGCAGCCTCTGGCCAGTGGGCTTAGGCTCCAGCAGTGGGAGTCTGGTCAGTATGCCCAGCGGGGTTGGGTCCTGTTTTAGAAATGGGGGAATGTTTATCACACCCTTTTCCTCCCTGCCTCTCCCTCACCTCATCCAGCAGCTCCCTGAAAATCACCTACCTGAGCTGGCTCCATCACAGCCATTTTCCTTCCCTGTCCCCTGGAAGACGGGATGATCTGGAGCAAAGTCTAGATGTGTTTCCTCAGCCTGTGGGGGCGAGAGGGATGATGGGGGAGGTTACAGAAGGGGCTTGAGTCCAAATCACACCCCGATTCCCCCCAGGCTCTCTCCCTGCAGATAGATGCTCTGGACTCTGCCATGCTGGGAACAAACCTGGTTAGTTTATTACCACACAGCCCAGGCCCCTCCCAGCAGAACTAAACCCTCCAGGAACCCTTTTAAACTTCCCAGTAACAGCATCTCTGAGCCAAATGCTGGAAAAAGAGCAGAATCAAAGGAGTCACTTTAGGACACTGCCCCACAGTGTATTGTAACCCCTCTAGCTCTCCCCCGTCTCCCTCAGTCCTGCGGTGCTCAGCAGAGTGAGCAACTGGCTTTTCCTCTCTCAGCTCCTCCCCTTGTTCCCAGGAGAGCTGACTGCCCCGGGGGTGCAGGGAATGGATCTGGGCACGGCTGGGAGCTGGGAACCTCCCTCCCCACTTCTTGCTCCTGCTGCCCGTCAAGTCTCTCCGCTCTCCCCTTTATCTTCTTCCCTCACCCTGGGAGAACGGGCGACTGCCACATTGTCGTGGGCCTTTGCTCTCATTACACAGCTCAGCCACTGACACTGGTAACGGGGGTTGAACCCGGCTGTGCCACTGAGGGCAACAGCTCTGGGACCCACAGACACAGGGAGCCCCTCTCCTTGTAGGCCAAACTCCCCAGCAGGTCCCTGAAAGGGGCCCTTTGTGCAGAGTCATTTTCCTGTCTGGCTCAAGCCCTTTCCCCAGGTTTCTCCATCACCTGCAGGCTTAGGTATCCTAGGGGCTGGTCTGGTCTCAGAGGGGTGTGATGAAGCGGGAATGTTCTTAATGTTTTTTCTGAATACTGTGTGTGCCTCCCTTTCCCTGTGTGTTACTCAAGTATCGGGGGTGGAATACGGGTGTGTGATGATTGTGGACATCCCTAGTGGGCAGGGGTGACTGCAGACTGGCTGCCTAGGCACAGAGAATGGCCAGCACTCTGTATCCTGGCAAGAGATGGCTGGAGCCCGTCCTCTGCAAGGAACCAGCTGAAGGTGTTGGAGAACAAAGAGGGGGGAGGCCAGGTGACCTGTTTTCCTGGGAAGGAGAGAAAGCACGGAGGAGGGACAGCTGGGCATCACTGAGGATGGGGGGCTGGAAGTGGGTCAGTTGCCTGGTTTGGGACTCAGCGGGGAGAGTCCAGGGCTCGGGACTCTGGATTCCCCCCCAGATGGACTTTGCTGAATGCTCCTGATTTCTGTGCTAACAAGCTCTGTTCTATGCTGTGTTCCCAGCAACCAATAAACCCGTCTGTTTTCCAAGCTGGCTGAGAGTCACAGCTGACTGTGGAGGTGGGGTGCACAGCCCCTGTGAGGAGCGGGTCAGGCTTCCCCAGGTGTCCCATCCAGGTGGACTAGCGGTGTGAACAGGGGTGCCGAATACTACAAGGTCAGACCCAGAAAGCTTCTTGCCCTGGTGAGAGTGTGCTCCGAGGGGAGACACTGCACCAGAGTCCTGCCTGGCTTCATTCATAGCAGCTCCAGGGCACGGAGACTGTGACTCTGTGACACGGGGCTGTCTTAAACACCTATCTCCCCTCCAAGCTCTGATTGCCTCAGCTCTCAGGTGAGTAAAGAAGGAGCGGCCGGGCCAGGTGGCTGGCCTGCAATGAAAACATCCGATGCAGCTTTGGAAACAAATACAGAGCATGTCTGGTAACCGCCCCTCCCTACTTCTGGATGCTTTGGAGCAAGATCAGCCCTGCGCGCTGCACCTGTGCTGAGCCACAACACGACAATGTGTGAAAGGAGCTTAATAGATTTTTGTTACACGTGCCGGACTGTGCCTCACACCTTTGTGAGCATGGCAGTCACAGACTCACCGATATGACCATCCCCATGTACGACAGGGGTAACAGACAGTGCTGCCAGGGGCGGCGAGTTATGTGGGCCCTGGTGCCCGGGCTCCACCAATGTTCAGGGCCCAGCACCACCAATGTTCAGGGCCAGGTCTCTCTCCGGTCACCGCCTGCTGCCCCTGCGCCTCCCCCAGGCCCGGGGCGTCCCTGCCTCTCCCCTGCAGCTCCACGCTGCCTCCGCTCTGCTGGCTCCGGGCATCAACTGCCGCCGCAGGGTCCTAGTGCCCCCCATCCACTGCTGCCAGGGCAGACTGACCCTGAGCCTGCCCTTCTGACTCAGACCCTTTCATTTTCTGGTGGGATTCTACACCAGCACAGGGGGTCCCACCACCCGCAGTCACTGCTCCTGCCCCATGCTGGACAAGGGGTAGCCCCAATCCCCACCCTGAGAGAGACTACAGTGAGGGGCAGCAGCAGGGGAGGAGGCACACATGTGATGGCAGCCCTCCCGCCCCGGCACCCACCACAGGGGAGGCAAGGGGGCTTCCTGGACCTGAGAGGGGCCGTAGGAGCACATGCACTGACAGTGGTGTGAGGTGACTGTGGTGCAGGGGGGAAGTGGAGGGGTCCCTCCCTCAGAGCTCGCTGCTGCCTGCGAGGAGAGGGCTGGGGGAGTCCTCCTCTCTGGCTTGCCTGCAACCCAAACACCTCATCCCCAGCCCTGCCCCACTCCCAGGGCCCTCACCCCAACTCTCTGCCATAGCCCTGAGCCCCCTCCCACACCCCAAACCCCTCATCACCAGCCCCACCCCTGAGCCCTCACATTTTTACATTATTTTAAAAAATATATAGTAACTCCTCACTTAACATTGTAGTTCTGTTCCTGAAAAATGCTACATTAAGCAAAACAATGTTAAGTGAATCCAATTAATTAATGTAAATGGGGGGGGCCCTAGGTTCCAGGGAATTCTTTTTTGCCAGACAAAAGACTATATTTTATACACACACACACACACACACATATATACACACACACACACACACACACACATATATACACAGTATAAGTTTTAAACAAACAATTTAATACTGTACACAGTGATAACGACTGTGAAGCTTGGTTGAGGTGGTGAAGTCAGAGGGTGGGATATTGCCCAGGGAATGCCTTACTGCTAAATGATGAACTAGCACTCGGCTGAGCCCTCAAGGGTTAACACATTGTTGCTAATGTAGCCTCACACTCTACAAGGCAGCACGAATGGAGGGAGGGGAGACAGCATGGCAGAGAAAGACAGAGACACACACCCTGTGTGTCAGAGAGAGACGCGCATTGCCCCTTTAAAGTAGGCTGACCCCACTCTAACTACATTGCCTTTTTAAGTAGATCAGCAAGTAGAGACAGCAGCTGCTGCCAGCAAGCTCCCTCTGTCCTGAGCCCTGTCGTGTCCCCTCACCTGCTCTGCAGGAGCAGGGGAGGGGGAAACCCTGACATCAGCACCCCTCTTCCCCCCTGCACAGCAAGCAAGAGGTTCACAGGAGCAGCTCCAAGGCCACACAGGGAACTCAGGGGAGCTGTTGTGCATCTGCTGGTCCAACCTGATTCCAAGCCCCCACCACTAGCTCCAATAGGCTGCGCTTTCTGCAAAGAAAGTGGACAAAGTAGGCGGCTGCCAAACAACCTTATAAGGGAGCGTTGCGCAACTTTAAACGAGCATGTTCTCTAATTCAGAGGTTCTCAAACTGTGGTCCACGGACCATCACGGTCTGCGAGCTCCATACAGGTGGTCCACGGATAGTTCCCTCTAAGGTGCGCGCCTGGGTGGCCGCACACGAGAGAATGAAGGGCCACCCACCTAATTAGTGGAGTTTCCACATTTGGAAAGATCATTAAGTGGCCCGCTGAGACCCCCAGCAATTTTCAAGTGGTCCGCGAAAAAGAAAGTTTGAGGACCACTGCTCTAATTGATCAGCAACGTAACAACAAAACAACATTAACCGGGACGACTTTAAGTGAGGAGTTACTGTATATTGGCTTACAAGGCAGGTGTGGGGGGGCGGAACTTGGATCTGTTCTGGGCACCACCAAAAGTTATACAAACCTGCTGCCCCTGAATGCTGCCTGTATAAGTTACCTAGTCATGGCAGTGCCTAGTTAGTAAGAGATATAGTTTAGCTACCCTGTGGTTAGCGAGCAAGGAGAGGCTGAGATCAAAGAGTCTTTACAGTTTAAAGCACCAAAACGGGGGTTCATTCCCACTTGGTCTGTGTTGCTTAGAAAGGGGATCCCTGTATAGCAGGATCTGCTATGAAACTATCTGGCCTTCATTCTCCTGCTCCTAAAGGATGTCCTGTCCTTTGCAGGAGAGGGAGGAGGAGCGAGATCACCTTACATTTCAACCTCAACCCCTCTCATGAAATTTTGTCAGGTCAAAGCTTTGAAATATTGTTATGGCGTTTCCACACAAGGCAACACTCAGGGAAGATGAGACGAGTGCCCCACTGCCTTTTTTTTTGGACTTGAAACATCG